TTTGTCCGTGTGTGTGTGCACTTTTGTGGGGAGAGGGCCCACAGTTACCATCCTACCCTCATAAGGCCTCCTGACTCCCCACTGAGCCCTTGACTATCTTTACGACTCAAGCCTGTTTCCCTCGAATTCTGGCTGGATACTGTCTCCACCAACGTCCACTCAGAACAGATTTCCCTTCCATTTTAGAACTTCCACTTCAGAGGCTTCTGATAGTTTGTATTCTTAAAGCTGTTTTTATTTACTAAAGTGAATAAATATACTACGTTGAAACATGGGTATGTCATGATCTCCACAGAAGGACTACCATTCTCAAAGGCGTAGAGGACATGAAAATACATTTAAACAAAAACTATCGTAAATATCTTTTAATCCTTCTTCCATGGTTTAGAAAACACTTCAGTATCTTACCATATCTTCTAGTCATCATTGAGAAAGAGGCGATACGGGGCACAAGAAGCTTAAAGGGGAGGTTGAGACTGTGAGAGTTACAATCTAAAGAGCTGTCGAAGGAGGAGAAATACTGATGTTTGGCAGAGAGTGGAGAAACTTGGCATGACGTTTCTTGTTCCCACAGAGCCTACAGCATTATAGTAATTTTTTATTAAAAAAGGCGCTGAGAATAAAATGATAGCTATAACAGAATGCCACACAACTAAATAAATAATACTGTGCTGTAATTACATATCCCAGCTGCCTTCCCGTGAGGAACTCACAGTCAGTCACCAACGAGCTGGTTGTGAAATTATAATTTCATGCTCCGGACAAAATAAATGATGAATCAAAATTATTTACAAAAAGAATGAAAGGAAGGGGAAGCATTTGGGCTAAGTTCTGAATTTTAAGCCCAGTCAATTAGAGAAGCCACAGACTTATAGAAATACTTTTAGATCTCTGTTAAGGAAATAAGACAGTCAGGAATAGCACTGTCCCATAGCACTCCAAGAATAAAGATGTCCTAATTTTGCACTGTCCAATACAATAGTCACAGGCCACATGTGGCTTTTGGGCACTTAAAGTGTAACTAATATGACTGAGGAACTGAATTTTTTATTTTATTTTTTAATTGTGAGTTTTAATTAATATAATTTTAATTATTATAAATTTAAATTTAAATAACCACATGTGGCTAGTGGCTACTGTATTAGGACAGTCTTAAAAGAACACAAAATTATAAAGTTAAACTCAGTGAAAATAGATGAATCGTGACAGTTGAATGATTTTTACGGTACTGATAAATGCAAATAAAAGGCTTTTTTTGACTTCTATTGGATTGTATTTACCACATCAGTGGTCTCAGCTCACGAGGAGTCAATTACACAAGAAAAGAGAGACTGATAAACAGAAGGAGGTAGACTGTACCACTCTAGTATAAACTTTTATTAAAGAATATCTAGACATCAGTTAAAATCCACTAAAAAGTATAAAGGTTCAAATGCAAACAGCTAAAATGGCCTCTAGTTTTCTTTACAACCCGAATCAAAATAAACTTTGAAAGCAAGGTAAGCAAGCTGGTAATTATACAGTTTTGTGTATATATGTTATTTATGAATTTATACTATATTTTTATTAATTCATGATATTTTGTTTATCTGTGATGAGGGAGAAAGATGGGAAAATAAGTTCCTGTGATGCTTCATTTCTAAGAAAGTTTGTGGCAGTGTTGGCAGTCGGCGACAGAGTTAAAGGTTGAGTTCTGAGGTTGATGAAGGGGGTCCGGGAAAAACAAGCCCCTGGAGTCGACATCCTACTCTTCTGAGGAACTGGGTCTGGTTGCCCAGGTGAGGGAGCGGGATCTGCTCTTGCCTGTTGCTCTGATTCAATACTCACCAAGCTCAGCTCTCCATGTGCACTTAACTAGGGAGAGAAGGTGCTGACCCAGTAACAGAAATGTTTAGTTAACTTGATGCTTATTGAGATCCTGGAGCCAAGTCATAGCCTCTCGTGAGTCTGAATACCGTGGATTTATCCACTGAAGCTCAGTCGCCTCTGAAATATTAAGAGAGTAAAGTTCCCATGCTCATAAACTCAGAGACCTGACAACGAATCATGACGGCCAGGCAACAGGCCTCTGGGACCTTTAGTTGCCGGCTGGTCTTCCACAGCTGATATTCCCGCCTCCTTTGGCAGCTCACACAGACTTCTACAGTTTTGTAGAATGATGAGCAACACCCTCAACTACGTCATTAATGGTAACATTTACTAAGTTCTTATCTAGTGCCTGGCACTGTTCTAAGCATCTCACATTTATCTAAGCTTGCCTCATGACTGGGAGTGGAAATGAAGTGGATATCATTACACCCCCACTGGGGTGGGCAGAGGTAGGAAATTTGCCCCAGATCATAGAGATGGTGGATGATGGAGTGAAGATTCAGACTCTGGCAGTATAACTCTGGAGCCTGCACTCTTATTCAATGAATCTTGCCTTCTATTAAATACTGTCTACTAAGGTCGTTTCTGTTAGTAACTCTTTTATGCAATCATTCCACAGGAAGTTTGCCTTTTATTAAAGCGTCACAAACGACCTTTCAGCCAGACACAGGAATGATTTGGGGAGGGAGAACATAGTTGTATTGATCGCTCAAGCCATATCTTCTCCACATCTAAGGCATCTCCTTAGCTAGTATTCTCTTTTATGAGAAGGACCGGAGCTCAATAAACCATATATGTACACACTAATGGTGTTAATGTACGTTTTGATAATGAGAATATTAAGAAAAGCAAAAGGAGCTTTTGTTTCAGCCATGTCACCAACCACTCTTCTTTCAGTGCCCATTGCCCATTTTCACTGGTAGGTAGAAGACTAATAAGAACTAAGATATTTGGAAACAGTGCTTTTAGGAAATATATAAGAAGCAAATCATCATTAGTTGACATAGAAAAGGTTATTTTCTTAAGCAGTTAAATCTTTTAAATCTGGTTTTCATTTACAATTGTTACCAAACCTCTCATAGACTTTGAAGTGGTACACCTTGGGACAAGTTCCAAGTTCAGATACTTTAAATTGTGGTACACTGTTTTGAAGTATTAGAATTTACAAGATAGAAAAGCAGTTAGATATTTCAATACTAGTCTATCAGCTTTATTAAGATAAAGTCAGAGCAGGGGAAGGATGGAGGGGCCCTCAAGAAAGGCAAGAGTCAGGGACCATTGGTAACTGTTACACACGCCTTTGCCTGCCCCCAAGGCTGTTGTGAACTGAGGACACAAGAGCTAGGTTTTTGCTAACATTATGACCAGAATTATTTCTCAAGTCTTTGATTGTGCCCCCCAAGGATCAGAGTACAGAGGACAATACCAGCAAGACATTATAAAATTATAGAAGGCGTATTAGACAAATATATCTATGTTTTAATAGTCCCTTAATTCTCATTTTAATCACAAGGTGTTTGCTGTCAAGTACTGTATTCATGAGTCCACTTTCTAGTAATAACATGTCAATAATGATATTCGATGGGACTGGCCCTGTGGCCGAGTGGTTAAGTTCGCACGCTCCGCTTTGGCGACCCAGGGTTTTGCCAATTTGGATCCTAGGCGCGGACATGGCACTACTCATCAAGCCATGTTGAGGTGGCGTCCCACATGCCACAACTAGAAGGACCCACAACTAAAGTATACAACTATCTACTGGGGGGGGGGGGGATTTGGGAAGGGGAAAAAAAAAGATTGGCAAGTTGTTAGCTCAGGTGCCAATCTTTAAAAAAATAAATTAAAAAAGTAATGCTATTCGGCAGCATAAAGAGGGGTAATGTCAACCTAGGATGCAATGAAGAAATAAGAGAATTTGGGACATTTTAGGAGCATGTCCAAAGGAGAGCAGACAGGCTGATGAAACTACATCAGGAGACCACAAAGACGCCCTCTGTAAAGCTTTCCTACACCTGGGCAGACAGGTGCTTCTGTCGTCTTCGTTCCCAACAATACTGAAGGATCATACAGGTAGTTACATAGGGGTATCTGTGTGTGCGTGTGTGTAGCAGAGTCTAAAGGATTCCCATACAATAGATCTTAATTCCTGAGTATTAACTGTGTGCCAGGCACTGAGAACTTTATGTGCTTTATTTCATTTTAACTCACACAACCACCAAAATGAGTTGGACATTGCAATTTCCACTTAAGAGATAAAGAAAAACTGAAATAACTTAGCCAAATTTGGCAACGTCTCCAAAATAACACAGTTGGTGAGAGGCAGAGCTGGGCCGCAACTCGCATTCATGACCACAATGCTCCCACGCTGTCGAGGAGATCGTTGCACGAAGCTCAGCTTCCTTCAAACTGTAAAATTCTGGGAATCTGTCACCTACACTCATTTTTTTTCATTCACATTTTATTTGAAGAAAATCACACCAAATGTCTGTTTCAAAATAAGGTTCTAAACTGAAAATTGCCAAGGTCATTTATTATTTTTAGCACAGTTTTTCAGTAATTCATAGACTTTAATGAGAGAAGATAAAACCACATTTTAAAAGAGAGAGAGACAGGGCCTTGTTTTGCAGTGAATAGATTACTTAAGCATTTGGAACAGAAAAAAATGACGAACCCAGACTTCTCTCTCCATAGAATTGGAAAATACAGGACCTCTGATGTTCAAATGGTCATCCTCAGACAACCTTGTATATATATGAAATAGCCGTACCATAACTTCCAGTAATTTTTGAAAATTCACTTGGATAATTAACATCAATGGCAGACTGGCAAAGTCAATGTGAAGTATTTGAAAGAACAAACTCAAATTATTTATTCATTTACTAGGCTTATAAACATGCCATCCACATACTGGAAAAGCTAATAATTACTCTCTAATTGTGCTAATTGTGTAATGACAATGTCGTAAATGTTTGTTTATATAATGTTAGATTTCTCTGACTAATCTTATCATTAGTCAGACTTTGGACTTCTGCCACTGTGTACTCATGTATATACGGGTACATGCCAAACTGTCTGAACAGTTTATTTTAAAACTGGTCATTAATGTGCTACTAGTATTCAAATCAGAAACTTACCACATCCTTCGGAGGAGGTTCTGCTTCCTTCTTTATCTTTTTACCCATTCTGGAAAAAAGATGCAATAAATGTTTAAAGTGTCATTTGTACATCAAATATGTACAAATCTCTCAGTTACCTATGTCCTTAGGAGGAGGTTTATTTCCTTCTTTAAATTTTACCTAAAGGGAGACGACGCAACAAATGTAGAAATTATTGCACATGTACAAATATGTACCCACAGCCCTATTTCAAACTCTACAATTTGAAAGGAACTTATTGATAAGAGTGTTGAACGTTAGTTCTGGCTTCCAGTTTGGAAAGGAGAATATATTAGTGACATAACTTTAACTTACACAACAGGAAATAGTTTATCATGATTATAACTCACTTAGGCAGGGCTTGGGAGACTGAAGCCAAGTTACTTTTAAGATCTGCAAGAATGTTTTGCCACAAAGAGAGGGATTTTTGTTTGTTTCTTGCACTGATCTATCCTAAGCTCTTAGATCAGTGACTGGCACATAGTAGGCATTCGATATTTATAAAAATCATTGGCTCCATTTTTCCTGGGAGCGACGATTTTGTGAAAGGTATCCAAGATCTACCAGCTCCAAATAAACATTTATGTCATTTTCCCAGATAACAAAAAGTTTTCTCTAATATAATCCAGAGCTCAATAAAAAAGTAATTGAGGGGCTGGCTGGGTGGTGCAGCGGTTAAGTTCGCAAGTTCCGCTTCAGCGGCCCGGGGTTCGCCTGTTCGGATCCCGGGTGCAGACATGGCACCACTTGGTAAGCCATGCTGTGGTAGGCGTCCCACATATAAAGTAGAGGAACACGGGCACGGATGTTAGCTCAGGGCCAATCTTCCTCAGCAAAAAGAGGAGGATTGGTGGCAGACGTTAGCTCAGGGCTAATCTTCCTCAAACAAAAAAAATGTAATTGAGACTCTGAAGAGATGTATTCTGGGGAAACTGGGGTTACTCCTTGCAAGACTCTTCTCCACCTGCCCTCATATGTCCACGTCTGTGTGGAGAACAGTCAAAGGAACAGTATACATAGTTGCTATACCACAGGGGGGTAACTCCACCTCGGTGCAGAGAACTTTCCAAGATGTTGGTGACTGTTGGAATAACCCTAGAAATCTTTCAAATTTTCTCTAGCAAGAGTTTGTGGAGTTAAGTTGGATATTAGGACCACCTCATTTGGTATATTCTAGTCTCCAGGAAATTACTGTTGTCTCAACAGAAATCCTGGGAAGTAGAAAATCCTCGGAGAGAATCTATAATGTCAGGGTTAGTTCAGACGGCTTGTCAAGGGACAAAAGCAACTCCCAGCATTAGGGACACTGACCAGAATTTATCACATACGTTAAAAAGCCACATGGTCATAGAAACTCATAGGGACTTCTGAAAGACATCCATTCTAAGTCCCTAACTTCAGGTCACATATATTTCAAGATCTTTGAGGACAAGCTTACTCTGTGATGCACTACCTCACGCTGTATCCTATATATTAAAAGATTAAAGTGTGCCCACGTCCCACATTAAATATAATTTTCACCATAAAAAGTTATGAAATTTTGCATTTGAAATTACTCAGCAATCGTTTTGCACACCTGGAAATTCTTGCAAAATGGGGAAATTGTTTTCAAATGTAATTTTAACATTAATTTTTCCGTTTTCTTTTCATATTTTAGAGCCAATTTTTTCTTTTCAAATCTCAGACATTTTTTATAGGTGCTGGACCTTGTGCCTACAACGTTTCAGGCAGACACACAGAAGCTATTCCAGAGAAATGAAAATCTATCCTATGATTAAGCTCTAGGAAAAAGAGATTTCATAGCTCTTTATAACCCATTCCAAGATATAACAGTCTTTGATTCACAAAAGAATTCTTTACGAATAACGTTCAAGAAGCAATTAAATTACACCTGCATAGAGTTACCTTCAGTCATCTGATTTTCAAAGGAATTTATTTTTTCCCGTTTCAGGATAGTGATTTTTAGCAATTGCATATTGAAGAGTACAGAGGCTGGAACAGCCTAGATATAGAGGATTACAGCGATGGAGCTGGTCCTACGCAATGCTGTGAAGTACGAAGTGTTTCATTTGTGTTATTACCATATTGGGTGTAACGGTTAATGGGGGAGACAGCATACAGCTGACATAGGCCAGGGGCAATGAGCCTCAGAGATGACCCTGCCCCAAGGGTTCTTTTTAAACTTCGTGAATTTGACATCCCACTTAAAATCAACCCGATACAACTAAATTATCTTATATTGTTTTATTCTTAAAAGATTTGTTTCCCTTTAAAGCTACAGAGATGTCAAATTATGAAAACAAATCCTCTTGACTTTTGAAGCAAAGTATACCTGTTTTCCTTGACTATTTCACCACCTGCACATTGATTTTTTAAATTGTGCTAAAATATATATAACATAAAATTTACCATTTCAACCATTTTTAAGTGTACAGTTCTGTGTCCACTGTCCCTTTATAAAGGTAACACATTTCATCATGGAAAATTTGGAAAACAGAGAAAGGCACATGGAATATAAAAAAAATCATCCAAAATAAACTCAGGGAAACCATTATTTCGATGTAGTTCCTTTTTGTGTGTGTTTCCCATAGTGACTTGACCATCCTACCTGGATTTTCCCCCCTATTCTCACTTTCCCTTCCTGGGACCATTTTCCTACTAAACTCTTCAACTAACGGACAGGTTCATGAAATCTCAGTCTCCCTTTATTGCTCCATTCATCTCCAATGGATCAGCATATCATGTCATTTAAAGTAGTATTTTAAAATCCACTATTTATCTAGCCAGTCCCCTGGTGTTGAGCATTTTTTTCCCCAGTTTTCTGGAATTATGGACGAGGCAGCAATGAACATTCTTAGACATAAAATTTTCATCTACGTCCATTTCTTTAGGATAAATCCCTAGAGTAAAATAACTGGGTGAAAAGGTATGAACCCCACCACACTGGGTCTGAAAACCTCTGCTCGATATTTCCATCTTCTTGATTGTTGGAGAGGGGCCACATTTTTTTCACGAGTTTATCGATCATCTGTATTTCTCCTTCATAAACTTTCAGCCTATGAGCTCGGAAATATTTTCTAATGGGGAGATTTATTTTGAGAAGACTTAAAGGGGAGGAGGAGAGCTGGAGCAAGTGGGGACCCACTTTTTGAGCTGCACACAGTCAAGTAACGGAATCTTAGACTCAGATCCCCACTCGAGGCCTCGGTTTTGCTACCTGTTAAATGGGAGGTGGTGGCCAGGATGCTTATGAAACCCATCCCGACCCCGGTCTAACACTGTGGGTGTAGGACAGGTAACGATGATCCCTCACAAGGTGTTTCCTTAGCTGCCCAGACGTCCCCACCCGCGGGGAACCATCTCCTTCCCCAAGTCTTGCTGGGGCCTCTGCCCTGGGCCTCTCCAAACCGCGGAGGTGGCCGTGCCGCTGCCCGCCCGCCTTTACCTGCCGGGAGATCCCGCCGAGCAGCGGCTCCTCCGACTTGGAGAACTGCACCCGCTGCCGCCTGCGCGCGCCTCCTGCTTCACTGTTGTCCCTGGTTGCTAGGCGACACAGGGCCGCGCCTGCGCGCGCCTCCGCCGTGGAAGCACGCGCTCGGATGCCGGAGGCGCCCATTGTCCCGCCGGGGACCGCGCTCAGTAGGAGCAGAGCCCTATGCATCCTCAGTTCCCTGAGTCCCGTACTTTGGGGCAGGATGGACACGGGGAATCCTCCTCTTCTTAGTTGTTGAGGGGCAGCCCAGGAGAAAACTGTAAATCAGCAGGCAGCGCAGCCTGGCCAGAGACCGGCTGTGGATTCGCATACTCTGAGATGCTATTGCATTCTCCCAACGACAGGCCTCAACCGGGATCTCTGCGCAGAGGACTTCCAAATCGCCACTTCCTGCCCAGACTGCTAAACTGCAGACCTGCATTGCCAGCTTTCCATGCACCAGGGTGGCCAGTCTTTCCCCGCGGAACTTGCCATGTCTCTTCAAAACCTCCTCCTCCTTTCTTTCCTTTTTCTGCCATTCCTCCCAGTCGCCTAGAACCTCAGTTTCTCCTCCTCTCGCACCCCCTGCCCCCCAGCTCCAGTCAGCAGTTGAGTCAATGGGCTTTCTACATTTTGTCCACTATCCAGTCCCCCTCTTAAATCGTTGCTGTCACCCCAATCCAGGTCATCATTTTTGGCCTTCTAACTGATAACTTCAGTTTCTCTCTTCTTCCAGTCCTTTCTGCAGACCACAGACTGATCAACCTTCCAGAAATTATTGCTCTAGTCATGTCACTCCCCTACTCAGACTTCGATGGCTTCCTAAAATAAAGTCTAAACTCATTAGCCTGGCATTCAAGGCTGTCTGCCCATCCCTATTCTATCTGTGCAGACTTATTTTCCATCATTTTCCTACCACCCAAACCCCAGCCAAACTTACTGTTCCCCCCCAAATTTTCCTTATTTTTCTATATTTTGTCTCACTCTGTTCCTTCATTATTTCATCTATTCAACAAATATTTATTGAGCACCTCCAGTTTGCCAAGTCACATGCAACTCCTGGAATATTCTTTCGTTTCTACTTAATTAAGCCCAGCTCAAAGGCCACTTCATAAAATACTCTTTGACTGACTTTAGCAAAAAGTCTCTCCCTCTTCTGAGTTCCCCTCACACTTTCCAAACTCCGTCTCCCACCAGCTTCCCTGGGTCCCCCAGCCCTGAGAGTGTTAGAGACATCTTGGAATTGCTACTTTCTTGTACCTTTGTGTCGTCTCCTCACCTTTTAAATTACCCGATAACAGCTTTATACATATTTAACAATTCTTTGTATTAAATTTTCTATGGTCAAAAACATGTGATTTCTGTCTCCTGAATGGACCTTGAATATTACACTCCGGTATCTTCAGCCTCTCCCTCTCTTCCAGCATTTTCCCCTTCAGTATAGGAACACTGTGAAGTCTCTCCTTTGCCTCATACAAAAAAAACAGAAACAAAAAGAAGAAAAAACCTCCTTTGAACAGGTATCTCCTTCTAGCTATCATTCTATTTTTCTTTCTCTTCTTGACCATGACTTTCCAAAAACGTAGCCTGCATTTGATACTTCCACATTTTTAACCTCCATTCACTCTTCAAACTATAACAATCTGGTTTGGTCCTGCCGCTAAAACTAGCTAAATCCATTGACTATTTCTTGGTCTTCATTTGCCTTGACACCACTGCTGCATTGTAACCTCTTGATGATACTTCTTTCTGGAAACACCTTCCTTGGTTTCCTTGATACTTCTTGCTCTTGATCCTCCTCCTGCTGCCATAATCATTATTTATAAGGTCTTTTCTATACAACCTTAAAAGTTGGTATTTTCCAGGAATCCACCTCTGGCTCTCTGCATATTATATCCTTTCCAGGGGTCATCTTATTTATTTTTGTGACTTCAACTGCCATGTATATAGCTCCATATCAGACTCTCCAATATTTAGCTCTGGACTCAGATAGCCTTCCTCCTACTCTTATCCTGCCTCCACCTGGATGTCCACAGGCACCTCACACATCAACTCTTCTTATCTAAACTCATCATTTTCCTAATATAAACGTTTTCTTTTTATCAAGGGTACCACCACCCACTTAGATACTCAAGCATAGACTCTGACAGTCACCCTAGACTCGTTCTCCTTGATATACAGTTATTTGGATTCCCCTAAAAGTCTCTTGAATGTATCCTCATCTTCCTATTTCCATAGTCCAAGGACAGAATGTCACCATCCTTTACCTGATTTCATCTGACAGGTCTCCTGTCATCTGGCTTCATCCATCTCCAGGATGACCAAATTAGTCTTCGTAATTTGTCTCTCTTCTTGCTGGCTCTCAATCACTCCACTACATACGTCATGGCATTCAAGACCTTGTCCTGGCTGACTCCTTCCTGCAGCAGTAGTTTCTCTAATCACTTAAAAAAAAAAAAGGTAGCAAACTGCTCATAACTCTCCAAGTACACCGTGACATTTTGTGCCCTTCACTCTCCTAATCAGCCTGAAAACCATCTATTTGTCTTTCAAAATTTATTTTAGTCAGAATTTCGTTCGAAAGTCTTCACTGGCTTCTCCAGACATAGTGAGACAGTTCTCAGTTTGCACCATCACTGTACCTTACACTTGCTCTATTCCTGCTATTTTCACATGAGACTGTAATTTGTTTGTTTATATGTCTATCTCCCCACGTCGGCTATTTCTAACGTTCTTCAAGTAACTAACATTTGTTGAACGCTCATCATGAGCCAGCAATTATGAATTGATGAAAGTGCATCATTAAATCTCCACCATAACCCTGTGAGGTACAAATGAAGTAATTGGCATGAGGTCACTCTGCTAGTAAATGCTAGAGCCAGGACTTGAACCAAGGTTAGCTTGACTCTTACAGCCGTGTTCTGAACCGATACATGACAGCAGCTCATCCTGAAAATACAGTTTTGTAACAAATTGTAAAGAGTTTTCATGAAATAATTAAAACTACTATTCTGATTCTTTTTGTCACAGACTTAGTCTTTACGGCACAGGTGTAATTTGGAGGGTCCTATTTATTTTAACATACACAGTTGGATGAGTTTTGACAAATGTTTACGGTTGTGTAATCACTACCACAATGGACATATAGAACATTTCCATCATCCCAAGTTTCCTTCATGCCCCTTTGAAATCAAGTCTTTCCCTCTACCCCGCTTCCCTGGGAACAACTGATCTGTTTTCTTCCCCTATAATTTCACATTTTCTAGAATGTCTTACAAATAGGACTATACAATCTTCTGCCTTTTGTGTCTGGCTTCTTTAATTTAGCATAATGCTTTTGAGATTTGTCCATGGTGTTGCACGAATCAGTAACTTGTCTCTCTCGATTACTGAGTGGTATTGCACTGCATGGATGTACAACATGCATTCACTGGTTGATGGACATTTGGGTTCTTTCCAGTTTTGGACTGTTATAAATCAATCTGCTCTAAACATTTATACACAGGTTTTCATGTGAACATATGTTTCTCCTTTCTTGGGAAAATACCCAAGAGTGGAATTTCTGGGTCTTATGCCATGTGCATGTTTGATGTTGTGAGAACTTGCCAAACTGTTTTCCAAAAAAGCTATAGTATATTTGCATTCCCACCAGCAATAAGTGAGAGATCCAATTGCTTCATATGCTCTACAACACTTGTTATTGTCAGGCCTTTTAATTTTAGCCATTCTATTGGGTGTGTAGTGATATCTCCTTCTAGTTTTAATTTGCATTTCTTTCACGACAAATGGTAAAGAGTTCATTCTCTGTACTTGTGAACCGTGTCTATATCTTCTTTTGTGAACTATCTGTTCAAATGTTTTTCCTACTTTTAATTGGGTGGTTTGTCTTACTACTATTGAGTTGTAAGTGCTCTCTATATTCTGCGTAGAAGTTATTTGTCATATATATAACTTGGAAATATTTTCTGCCCAGGTTCATTTTAGTGGAAAATGGGATTTAGAGACCATAATCTAAACACTAGGGTTGCTCATTGCTACTGGGTTAGTCATTGCTTCTAGGCCTTTTCAGAAGCCTAGTGATGCTGTGAATTCAGCACACGTTAAAAATCAGAAATCTACAGATTCAAACCTTGGTTGCAAAAGATAAGATATCATCGTGTGGCAGTCATAGGTACTCTCTGGTTCTCTAGCCATGGCTTCTATTGGATCTTAAAACTCTAAGCCTGTCATTTTTTGTCTCAGAACTACTAAATATAATTAGAAGTAACTCATCCACCCCACATCCCTTGTAGTCCTTTTGTCCACCACATTGTGCTACAGCAGTAGCCACTTGGTCTGTCAAAACTGATTCCAACAGGGACTTCTTTCTAGGAGACCACAGGAGACTCCCAATAAGACAACCTCTCAAAGTAACCAGGTCTGCACTGTTTTCAAATTCAACCAGGTCAAACACCCAGTCCCACATTTACATCTTTGAGCTTCTAAGGTCAGTAACCACTTCTGATTCCAATTACTGTGTCATTTGAAGTTCCATTGCAGACACCAAAATCTGTTCTAGTTAACAGAGGATTCAAGATTTACAGCATTATTGTAAGGGCTGGAGGACCAGCTTCTAGGATGAGCCTTCAGGGATGACTTTAAAAACAATACTGCTGGGGCTGACTCCATGGTTGAGTGGTTAAGTTTGCACACTCTGCTGCGGCGGCCCAGGGTTCGGATCCTGGGCATGGACATGGTACCGCTCATCAGGCCACATTGAGACGGTGTCCCACATCCCACAACTAGAAGGACCTGCAACTAAGATATACAACTGTGTACAGCAGGGGGTTTGGGGAGATAAAGCAGAAGGAAAAAAAAAAAGATTGGCAACAGTTGTTAGCCCAGGTGTCAATCTTTAAAAAAAAAAAAAAAGGCTATCCATGGACCTATATTCTATGTTAAGTGGGATTCTCAAAATGGTGACTCCAAGCCACTGTAGTCATAGCTGTTTACAGTTTTATGCAAAGAATTAATATTGGAAAAATACTCTGCCGGTTCATACCAAAGGGGATGACCAACAAAAATTTCCTCTAGAGTTTCT